TATCCTGGTCCCTTGTTTCTCCTGCTTTATCTTGCTTTTTTGTGTGGACTGTGATGCTCTGTTGTCTCCAAGGCATTGTGACATTTTTGTGTCTATATTTAATTGGTGATTGTGTGTTGGAATGACTCATTTTCTTTATTTTGTTTGTATGTTATCTAGGCAAGTAGGGTACTGTGCTGTGCTCCTCTATTCACTAGTTCACAGCACTTATACACTTACTACCTATCTCCTTTCCTGTTGTCAGCCTCTCATATGTCCCTGCTGACCTTGGCAAACAAAGCCTATTCTTAGGTCCCTGGAATCTGAATGAGAGTACTATCACATTAAGATCCAAAATGGTTGCCACTTGTAAACATTCAAAATAGCTGCACCCTCAGTCACTTTAAAAATCCAAAATGGCTGTCACATGGAAACAATCAAAATGGCTGTGCCCTCTGGACAGCAGAAAGTCAACAGCTCAGGTTGTCTCCCTCCTTGCTGTTTCCCTTCCTAGTCGTAGGCCACTAATGCAGTTGTCTCTGCAGCCCTGGGTGACCAAGTCTGATCTTTAGGTCAATTCTAAGGTCCCAATACCTCTTAGAAATATTCAGGCTGTTGATCCTGCCAGAGTAGCTGACAGTCCGCAGCTCAAACAGTCTCTGTACTCACTGTTTTCATTCAAGTTTTTCCACTTCTGTATAGTTCTTTTCAAAGCTCAGGGCTCCAGGACTATCTTCTGTATCTCTGTCAATTAGTGTTTCTTTTCTTTGTTGAAGAGGGTCTGTGTTGCTTGTCTCCTATTTCTCCATCTTACCGGAAGTCCTTCTGATTGACTCTTACTCATAGTGGCCTGCTCCCTGTGTTTAGTGGTCTTTACTTTCCCTAGTCATCTTCATCTGCTGCTAATGAAGACCACGTTAGTGCTTTGAAGCTTCTGGCTAATGGAGGAGTCAGGCTTCTTACCTTGTTCATGTCCCTATACTCAATCACCTGCAGCAATAGTGTGGATATGTGCCCAGGACAACCTGGCTATTCCAATTCATTTGTGCCCTGGTGTGTGTGGGGTCATGTTTTACTTAGAGTGGAAGATCTATAAGATTTCATGTACTTCCTGTGAACCCAGCAGTGAATTAAAATGATATGTTTTGTCTGGTATTTAGCCCTTCTGTAGAGAGGGCCTTTCAAAGTACCCAGTGACAGAATGCAAGTAGTAGACATATTTTCATCAGCTGCCTGAAAAGTCTTCTGTTTGCTTTGATAACTTGTTAAGATTTTTCTCAATGAATTAGACCCTAAAAACTACAACAGGGGAAGCTTTTCAAAAGACCACTGAACACTTGGGTATTCCAATACAAAAAGAGACACCCATCCATACATTAACATGTAGTCACATATAACAAATCAGGCCTGGGGTAGTGGTGGCTCACAGTTTGCCCCTGAAGTCACTTGGAGGTTGTTCAGTCAAGACTATAAGTCACAGCAGTGTGTACAGGATGTCATAAATAGGGGAGAAAGGGACAAACACCCATTATCAATAGCTATTCTAAGTACAATACTCTGTCATTTGGTTTTCCTTGTGAGCAGCCCATGTCTGTACTCAGTACCATCTCTCTGGGTATGAATGACTTAGGGATATCTATGCAGTTATCTATGTTGTTGTTGTTATTGTTATGTGCTATCGAGTCAAACCCGACTCATAGTGACCCCTCCTTGAGTTTCCGAGGCAATATCACTACGGAAGTAGATTGCCCCATCTTCCTTCCGAGGAGTGGCTGGTTGGTTATCTATAGGTGCTAAAAAGCGTGAATCCCACTGCCATCGAATGGATTCCAACTCATAGCGACCCTGTAGGATAGAGTAGAACTGCCCCATAGGGTTTCCAAGGCTGTAAATCTTTACAAAAGACTTCCTCATCTTTCTCCTGTAGAACAACTACTGGGTTCACACCACTGACCTTTTGGAAAACAGCTGAATGCCTTAACCACTATCCTGCCAGGGCTCCTATAGATACAAAGCAGGTCAAAATGTAATCATAGCAAAACACATCAGAATAGGAATAGTTTGGCTGGATCTTTCTATGATATAAAAATTAATATCACTTCTCTGGACAAACACATAGGATCTTAACACTTTAATTCATGACAGCCTTCATTTTCCCCTTTCACAATTGTTTCTCATGTTTTGTGAGTTGTTTTTCTGATTCTCTTTCTTCTAATTAATCCAGTAAGTCCTGGTTTGAGAGTAACAATATTAATTTTATCATTCTGGTCAACTAATGTGTCTTACTTTTCTAGGAGCAACAAACTGTTGACCATTTATTCTGCTCATGAGACAAACTAAGGTCCAGAAAACAGGGCATGGATTTCCTTTCACCACTTTTTCTTTGCTTCTGTGTTAGAAATTGGCTGGAAATTGTGAAGTTCGTGTGATCTTGTAATAAATAAAGAAGTTTGTTGACAGTGGAAAACCCAGCAAACAACCTGGGTTTTAACCTGTTATATTCAGCAAACAAAGCAAGGGAGATTCAGATTAACCTTAAAAATGATTCATATTTGTGGAATTCTCTATAGTCTATAAGGAGTTCAGATGGTACTGTGGTTAAAGCATTCGGCTGCCAACCAAGAGGTCAGCAGTTTAAACCTCCCAGCTGCTCCGTGGGAGAAAGATGAGGCAGTCTGCTTCTACAAAGGTTTACGGCCTTGGAAACCCATTGGGGCAGTTCTGCTCTGTTCTGAAGGGTAGCTGTGAATGAGAATTGACTTGATAGCAGCAGATTTCCGTCTGCAAGAGTTTCTGGGTGGTGCAAAGCATTAACATGCTCACTTGCGGGTTGGAGGTCTGAGTTCACCCAGAAGCACCTGTGAAGAACAGCCCGGCAATCAGCTTCCAAAAGATCAGCTGTTGAAAATAGTATGGAGTACAGTTCTGCTCTGACACGGGTGAGGTTGCCATGAGTCAGTTGTCTCAATGGCTACTAGTTTTATACAGTCTGCAGACAATAGTTATAAACAGCCCGTCTTCCCCTGTGACAGCTAGGGGATGTTCCTTGCTTGGTTGCAATGTTCTAACCATTAGGTGACTTTCATAATATATTGCAACATAATTGACTTACTTTAGATGGCAAACAAATACCCCTATATAATGGCTTGTGCTCATTTGGAATAAAGTTACCACAGAGAGTTAGTATCTTTTACCATTAAAAGGTTCCATTAGGTATGCTTACTTTTAAGCTTTTTTTTTTTTTAAAAAAAAAAAAAAAACTTGTCCAAATGAAGGAGGAAAAAAGTATTGACACATCATTGTTTATAGCAGCAATTCCCTTGGCACCATGTGCCTTTAAAATGTCTGAATGGATTGCTGTGCACGTGTCATGTGTGTTTCTAACATGTCATAATTACTAGACCCAGCTGAGCACAGTGTCCGCCACAGAAGCACACGGCTCCTGTCAAAGGGGCAAGCCCACGAGAGGGACCGAGCTGCAGAGGAGTGCAGCAGTGGTGAAATTGTTGAACACCTCGACTCACTGGTGCAGCCGAAAAATTATGCTGCTTTTCCTTCTGTGAACACGTTGCCTCATTTAAAAAAAAAAAAAAAAAAAAAATTTTTTTTGAAATTGTGTCTTAGGATCTGCTTCAAAACACAGACGCCCACAAAAGAGCATTCCATGAAATCTACCGGACCAGGTCTGTGAACGGGATCCCCGTGCCCCCTGACCAATTAGAGGACATGGCCGAGAGGTAAGCGGACGCCTGGCTTTAAACGAAGTCTCTTTTGAAAATGCCGGTGGGGGCTTTGCACATTTATTTCCTTTTCAATGAATTCCTTTTTCTACAGAGATACTTATATTTGGTAGATCGACATAGGGCTGCCATACGACATGCTAAGAATGCCAGATATTATTCATCGGAAAGAGTAAACCTGAATTTACCCTCAGCCAGGAATTCAGAGAGAAGCCTTCTTCCTGGGCTGTATTTGTTATTCAGTGCTGTAGGGAACATTATGTAATATTGCAAAAGCAGCTTAGAAAAGCAACAGAGCAGAGATGTGTTGGCAGGAGAAAGCACTAAATCAGACTTCAGTCAATCATGCTTTGCCTTTAAACACAGAACTGGAAGAGGAAGCAGATCTCCTGACAGCGGTCCCCCAGAGTTAAAGCTCCTGTGGCTGTGTGTCTTGAAAGCTGAATGTAACAGGTTAAAGAAGCACCGTTCTGTTACCATTAGTTACATTCTGTGAATTCTTGGTGTTTTATTTCTAGGTTTCGTTTTGTTTCCTCCACGTCAGAGCTGCACTTGATGAGGATGGAATTCCTAGAGCTGAAGTACCGGCTGCTCTCGCTGCTGGTTCTGGCTGAGTCGAAGCTGAAGTCTTGGATCATCAAGTATGGGAGAAGGGAATCCGTGGAGGTGCTGCTGCAGAATTACATTGTGAGTTTCCCTGGCTTGGCAGAGATAGAGGAAGCCTGGGGTGCAGCAGCTAACCGGTGCATTTGATGCTATGCTATTTTAATCCGGAATTTAGGCGTAGAGATACCCGTGTGTGAGGTGGATATGTTCATGAGCATTTTATAATAATCCGGACTGAAAATCTGCACTTTTAGAAATCTGAGTCTTTAAAAATCCCTTGTTGAGAAAAGGCTTTGCTCCATTGATTAAGCTGAACAATTGGAACTGGATTTTATTGCTTAAAAAAAAGTTTTTGCCTTGCATACCCATGACTTTGACTGTAAACTCACCATCAAAAGGGTATTAGAGTACTTGAGGATTATGTCTTCGTGTTTAGGACAACTCTAACTGGGCCACGTGGGGACGATCTCTTTTGTTTGTTTGATGGTTTGTTACTTCAGGTCTACCCATCTTTGTCATACTCATTCCGAGCTTCTTTGTTTCTTGTGTGCCCTCAGAAAGAGTTAAATTTTGTCTGTGAAGCTCTGTACCAACTTATATTGTAAATGTTATTTCACATGTGGGTAAATAGCATTTGCATAGAATAACAGCTTCGTGCTAACAAGGTTATTCTGTCATGAGCAGCTTCCATATACGTGTAGTTAGTGTTTTATCTTTTTTAAAGGTGGTTTATTTCTCTTCGGAAATTAAACATACACCTCTCCCATAAGCTTGTTGACAATACACGTTGTTCACACGTTAATCTATAATGGGGCACCTCAGTCCAGCACTGTTCCACTTACGTTCAATCACAAATCCGAAATGACAACTGAATGAACCTTTTCAATGTTAAGTCTATATCTAAACTGACTTGTCTGGGACTCTAACATGAAGGGCTTGCTGACCTATTGAAACTATGCCTTTACAAGAACATCCAGGATTGCTGCATTTTAACTCCATTTTCTAAGTGACGAGTGAACAACATGCATTTAAAAATTAAGATTTAACAGGTTTCCAGTAAAATCTTTCTCAAGATTTATTAAATGGTCCAGGAAGCATTTGAGAAAAATATGAAACCTTTTGGGATATGCTGTTTTATTCATTTTTTAAAAAAAGTAAAGTGAAAACATGAATTTTTTAGGCTTCAGCAATTCCATTATTCCTTTAGACATTAAATACAGATGTGCGTTTATATTTTCAGGTTTAGTCATGTTAATTGACACATTCTGAACCCAGTAAATAATTATACACGTTTCATCTGTGGTCTAGCTATTTCAGGGCAGCCAATCAGATTCAAATGCCTAATGGGACCATTCTGCCAGGTTGATATTCCAGTACAGTGATGTTAGTAACACTCTTTGAATTTCTCTAAAGGTTATATAAATAGAGAGCTGTTATTAATGATTAAAAAATAACCAGTACTTTCTGCCTACTCCATAAAGTTAAAGAGAAGTTCACTAAGCTGCTAATTTTAAACAGCTTTGTGACTTTGAAAATTGCTATAATTACTCTACAAACATAACATGTTTTAATGACATTCCTTCTTTTCTCATCACTTGCAGAAAAACTGCCTATTAATATTAATTGTTAATATTAAGTAGTACTCAGTGTTGCTCATGCTTCCTTTCCCCTTTAAATAGAGGAAGAGTTTTAAATTACCTTTAATTTAACAGTTATAATGAACGTAAGGCATTGAACAATACATATGTGAGGTGCTTTTGTCTTCTATTTCAATTTCAATCCTATGACTGGGCATTTTGCGTTGTTTTATCCACTGAGGAAGTTTAGGAGGCTTCCAAGCATTAAGTCACAGTCTCTAGGGGGCACAATCCTTAGAGGTGGAACCTGAATTTGAATGTAAATTGTTTCAAGTCAAAAGCTCTTTGCTTGAATACTGGGCTTTCCTCTGTAACAACATAGGCTGTGGAAAAGCTTTTTTAAAACTTGGAAGACTAAATCATTGTTATATCTTGCAGTTTTAGTCAGCTAAAGAGTATAGCTTACATAGGTATTAGTTGAACATTTGCTCATACTTGACAACATTTTAAGCTTAGGTACTATAGCTTTGAATGTTGCTATTACTTCTGTGATAGACACCATAGCATGGATGGCAGAGGTGGGAGGGGGAGATGTGCAAGCCCCCTGCCCCCATCTAGTGTCATATAGAAATGTGTTGATTCCTGGCTCACTACCCATGTGACTTTGTGAATGACTTATTTTCTGGAAGACTTAGTCCTTCTCCACAATTTTAATAATAATAATAATAATAATAATAATAATAGAATAATAGGGACTTTTCCTAGGAACAAGGCTGACAAAATATTTCCTTCTGTTCCACGTAGAGCCTCTCTGATCCTTTTGAGGTTGGTGAAGAAATTCATTCTCTTTGGAACAGAATGTTTCAAAGAGTGTGAAGGCTTTCGAATAATGTAAAATCTGTTTCTTCCATGCCATCCTTTCCTTGGTTTCTAAAACAAAATTATTGAAATGAGCCATGTGCTTCGACCCAAAGAATAGCTGAAATAATACTCGGATGTAAAGTTTTCATAATTATCTTTCCTTTAGTGTGAATTCTCAACTCAGTCTTAGTCATCTGCAAAAATGAAAAAGATAAAAACTCCTCAGGATTAGAGAGTGTGCTTCTTACCTCCCTCATCCCAGGCAACCAGGTGTGCAGACCAGAAGGGCTTAAGGAATTCTTGAAATACCTCACAAATGTTTGCTGCAATTAGCTATTGATAAGAGATTAGTCATTGTAATGTAAATCAAAAGATGATTGTTTTGTTCTTGCCCTCAGAATTGTTGACCTGAACATATTATGTCTCACTTGCTTCAGTTTTTGGGTGGAAAAAATAAGATAACATTTCAACCACTAGCCTTCTGGTTCACATGAAAATAAGGGAAGAGCTCTATGCACACCCATGTTCATCGCAACTCTATTCCCAATAGCAAAGAGATGGAAACAACCTAAGTGCCCATCAACCCAGGAATGGATAACCAAACTATGGTACATACACACAATGGAATACTGTGCAACCCTAAAGTATAACGTAGAATCTGCAAAACTTTGCATAACATGGATGAACTTGGAGGACTTTATGCTGAGTGAAATACATCAGTCACAGAAGGACCAATATCGCATTAGTCCACCATTGTAAAAGTCAAGGAAACATTTATCCATGGAAGGAAACTTTCTTTGTTGGTTACCAGAGATGGGAGGGGAGAGGAGGGAAAATCCTCCATGGGGTGGGGAAAAAAAATTATATATATATATTTTATATATATATGCATGTGTATAGAAACCAAGGCATTTGACTGCTAACCAGAAGACTGACAGTTCAAACCCACCAGCCACTCCTCAGAAGGAAGAGTGGGCAATCTGCTTCCATATCCATAGTGATACTGCCTTGGAAACCTAAGGAGTGATCCAAGTGGACAACAGTGGGTGGGTTTTTAGGAATAGGAGGGAGGGGAAAAGGGGAAGCTTCTGTTTGTGGGTCATTGAGTTCATGCTAACGGTATGGAATATTTGGAAAAGTGTAGCAATAGTGGTGGCACAACATGGAAAATGTCATCAGTGTCCAAAGAGGAAAAAGTATGGGAAGAAGAGCTCTTGGAATTGTCAATTATGGAAATGCAGATATTTATTTTATTATCTGTGTACTTGTTAATGTAAATAGCCAATCCTGATAATACCACTCCTCTAAGTTTATTTAAAAAATCTTAAGTTAGCAGGTTAGGAAGGTTCTGAGGCAGTATCTACTTCCGTAGTGATAGCGCCTCAGAAACCCAAGTAGGGGTCACTATGAGTCAGGTCCAACTCGATGGCAGTGAGTTTGGTGGTTTTGGTATTCCCATCTTGTGAAACTCAAAATTCAGTCACTTCCACTAGTACGTTGAGTTTCGTGGAATCAAAAGATGTTTTATTTTTCTTGAAGTAACATCAACTTTATAAATCCTCTAACATGGCTTATTTATTAACTTGATATCCAATTTAAGCCTTGGTTTGAAAGAAATAAACGTATGCTATCATTGCAACGTTTAAGTATACTTTCGTTTTATGCATTTTTTGGCGAGCCTATAGCTAGATAGCTCACAGTGAAAGAAAGATTCGGCAGCTCCCCTACTAAAGCGATTCTAACAGACAGAATAATTAATATTATTAAATGGATTTACTGTGTACTCAGGGGAAAAAAACAAAACACCTAAGGGCCAACTTAAATGAAACAATAAAAATTAAAATAACAAATAAGTTATCTCCCTTCAAAAATTGTTTAGTCTTTCTAACAAGGAGGCCTCCCGGGTGGCACAAACCGTTCAGTGCTCTGCTGACCACTGGCTGAAAAGTGGGCTGTTCCAACCCGCCCAGTGGTGCCTGGGAAGGCAGGCTTGGTGACCTGCTTCTGAAAGGTCATAGCCATGAAAACTCTCTGCAGCAGTTTCACTCTTCACACACAAGGTTGTCATGAGTTGCAATCTATTCACAGCAGTTCATGGCAACAACCTGATAAGGAGGCTCAGAAATAGTGCATCCTTACACCATTCATACCCCCTAAAACAAAACAAACCCACTGTCATCAAGTCAGTTCTCACTCAAACTGACCCCCATTGGGTTTCCAAGGATGTAAATCTTTACAGAAGTAGATTGCCCAAATTCCTTACATGGAGTGGGTGGGGGTTTGAACCACCAACCTTCCTGTTAGCTCTCAAAACGCCTTTTATAATACTCTTAAAATTCCTTTGTTATCCTTTTTTGGGTGGGAAATGAAACTGGAGATAAACTTTTGTATCTTGTGCATTTTTAATTATTTATATTATTATTAGCAAAAGACTTATTTATTTATTTATTTATTTATTTATTAGCAAAAGGACATTTAAGACTTTTGGTCCAATTCAGGCACCATTGCCACTTTTGTTATCATTTAGAGCACTTGTTTTCCCATTAGCCTCTTGAAATTTGTGCCAGAACTAAATAGTGACTTTTCAAAACTTTGTCAAATATATTTACTTCTTCAAATTCTTATATCAGTGTCTTGAACCTTCGGTGTCATTTTCCATTTCTGATCAAACTATGACTTGTTCATTTAGTTAAATTACTCAAAATTAAATGACAATAAGTTATGAATTAACCAGACTTCTATTGTCTTAATTTGTTCTCAATCAAAAATAAGAAGTCCTATTAAAATTAGTAGGAGCTCTGGTAGCATAGTGGCTAAAAGCACTTGACTGCTAACCAGAAGGCTGGCGATTCAAACCCACCAGCCACTCCTCGGAAGGAAGGTTGGGCAATCCTACTTCCGTAGTGATACCGCCTCGGAAACCCAAGGAGGGGTCACTACGAGTGGGGGCCGACTCGACGGCACAACAACAACAACAACATTAAAATTAGTGAGTACAGTATTCATCACGAAACCGCCCATCCTAGGTAACTTTCAGCTTTCTCTGTTGACTTACTCCCTAGGGATAATATGTAAGTCCATGCTTTATAAACTTAAAATGATACAAAATGTACTATATATGAAATGACCTTAAATGTTGTATTGAAACATGATGAACACTTGCCAGTAAAAAACAAGGATGTCTGTGGACTTGCCTCTCCACACGAGCATCGCCTGTCTTCACTTCCAGCATCCTAAGCTTCCTCTACAGACCGTGGGCTTCTTTTGTACGGCTAATGCTGCATTGTACGATAGTGACATTTACCAGGTAGTTTTAATGGTTCCAATTGTAGGAACTCATTACCCTATTAAAAGAAACTGAAGAGTTCTGGCGATATGTTGTTAACTATAAATGCATTAATTTTCTACTTTACAGGACTCGGAATGAATTATCTTTAATATAGGAAGTATTTCATGTTTCCTGGAGTTAACAATAACAAAACTTATTGAAGGATTTTTTTTTTTTTTTTTTGCATAGGTTTTCTCAGTACACATTTGCTGGTAGTGACTCTATTACATATGTAAATTATGTAGAGATCAAGATATAGACAAGTCTTATCTGTAATTTTTTTAAACTATTAGAAACGAACCTTAGGCTTTCTTAATCTTCCTTGAAGGATTTTTTTTTTTTTTTTTTTGCATAGGTTTTCTCAGTACACATTTGCTGGTAGTGACTCTATTACATATGTAAATTATGTAGAGATCAAGATATAGACAAGTCTTATCTGTAATTTTTTTAAACTATTAGAAACATGAGACCACTCATAACATGGAGTATGAGACGATTTCGATTTTTCCACTTGTACACATTGTACTTACTTTGTATTTTAAGGGACGTGCTTGTACACGCACCATTTATTTCTAATCTGAAGTTCCTCAGAACACTCATTCATGAGGATTAATGTTCAAAGAGCAAAAGAATTGCACAGCTAAAGCACAGTGGGACCATTTCAAATGTTCTCCCAAATTCCCTGCTTTCTAAATGGTAGGCCAAGATTCTGTGTGGAAATACCTGCCTGTTCTGATAGTAAACCCTTGGGTAGCAAAGAAAGTGAATAACTTCCCCATCTATGCTGCGTTAGAATCAATTTATATGTCAGAATAAATTTAGGTTACTTCTAGTAATGGAACTAATTTGATAGTTTTAAGAGGAGTCAGCTTAGGAAATTTGGATAAAATATCCATAAAGCTAAATAATGGATCAACTAGACTGCTGTAGTCTTACTTTATTCTCAAACAAAAATAAGAAATACTGAAGAGACGTGCTGTTTGCATTTCTGTGTACGCCTAGTGATGGCTGTCTTCTAACCATCTCCCTCTTCTCTAGTCTTTTATAGAAAACAGCAAATTCTTTGAACAGTATGAAGTGACATACCAGATCTTGAAACAGACGGCTGAGATGTATGTCAAGGCAGATGGGTCAGGTAAACGTATGACAGAGTTCATTGCGGTGTGGAATTCGGTCAGATGTAGAACCTACAGTTTTTGTGTCATCCGCTAATGTTTATTCTCTGTGGAATCCTTGGTGACGATGCCATTGGCTTGGAGAACACATATTTGACTCAGTCCCCTGAATTGTCCTTTTGGCCATAGGGGATTTTGTCCTGTGCCCAACCTGCATAATGATACTCTTCTGTGTGTGTTATCTCCTAAAAAAAAACCCCAAAACAAAAAACTCACCATTGTGGAGTCAGATCCGACTCATAGCAACTCCTCCTTGGGTTTCCGAGGTGGTATCACTACGAAAGTAGTGGCTGGTGGGTTTGAACTGCCAGCCTTCTGGTTAGCAGTCAAATGCCTTAGGCACTACAACACCAGAGCTCCCCATGTTATTTCCTAAGAGAGAGCAAAATAAGCATCCATTTTCTAAATTGCAGTTTTCCAACCTCTTTTCAATTCTGATGATTAAACACAGAGGAAAAAAATTGAATATCATAATCCAGTAAATGAGGGCTTTAAAAAAAAAAAAAGTTTCCATCCAGTTAATTCTGACTCCCAGTCACTCCCCGTGCATCAGAGGACACCTATGCCCCTTCGGGCTTTCAGAAATAGGTCTGACTTTTCAGAAGTACCTCCTCAGGCCTTTCTTCTGAGGGATCTGTGAGTGGACTTGAACCTCCAGTCTTTCAGTGAACAGCCGAGTGTGTTAGCCTCTTCCCTACCCATTAAGTTAGTGTAAACCCAAAAGTTGTAATATACTTTTGTTTTCCATTTTAAATGCTTGTCATATCTGTTGATGAATGAACTGGAGTATGAACTCTGTGTCTCCGCTTCTTCGGGCACATATGAAATGCAAACCAGTACACAGATGCCATTGTTTGCATCCAATCTATCAGAAATTTTAAATGTATTCTCATCTTTAGTCTTGATAAATGCCTGTGAATAATGTGTTGTTACTGCCAGTATCCACTGAGTGAGATGCTCACGTTATATCTGTTAATTTGCTAATCTAAAGAAAGCCTATGAATGCACGCTAGCAGCTAAGACCACAGAACAAGGGTGTGGGGGGTTTAAAATGTTAAGTAAGGAGTCTAAGGCAGTTTCCCTGTTCCAGTGGAGGAAGCAGAGAATGTGATGAAGTTCATGAACGAAACCACCGCTCAGTGGAGGAACCTGTCTGTGGAAGTGAGAAGTGTGAGGAGCATGCTGGAAGAAGTCATTTCCAACTGGGACCGATATGGCAATACTGTGGCTAGTCTTCAAGCTTGGCTAGAAGATGCTGAAAAAATGCTGAATCAGACAGAGCATGCCAAAAAGGTGAGATTGTTTCATACAAAAGAAAAAGACTTTACGTGAATTTAGAATTGAGGGATGATATACTACAGCTTACTCGGGAGTATTATCTCTTTGCAAGTGTGACTAGAGAGTGCTTGGGTGTTTTCAGATGAGTATATGATGTTAGATCAATGAATAAAACCGAAACCAAACTCACTGCCATTGAGTCGGATCCGACTCATAGCGACCCCTCCTTGGGTTTCCAAGGCAGTATCACTACAGAAGTAGGTTGTCCAACCTTCCTTCGCAGAGTGGCTGGTGGGATTGAACCGCCAGCGTTCTGGTTAGTAGTCAAATGCCTTAGGTACTACACTACCAGAGCTCCTGATCAATGAATACGCTGCTTAGTAAAAGTTCTGTTCATACAGTTCCCTGTTTGAGGAGTTCAGTGTTTGACTTTTGCATTCAGAAGAGCAGTTAACTGATGGAAAGTCACTCAGACCCATTGGGCAGCAGAGGGTGCTATATCACAAAACAGTCTGTCTGTGAAGAAGTCTGCCTAGGGCCCAAAGCGAAAACCAAACCCACTGCCATCGAGTGGATTCTGACTTATAGAGACCCTCATAGGACTTCCGAGGCTATAGATCTTTATAGAAGCAGACTGCCTCATCTTTCTCCTGTGGAACAGCTGGTGGGTTGGAGCCTCTGACCTTTTGGTTAGCAGCCGACTGCCTTACCATGGTGGGTTTACTAATTTCTGAGAGGATGAAAACAACTCTGGTTAGCCTAATACTGAATCTGTGCAGTGGCATACACAGTTAAACAACCAGACCAGGACATTTTCATCTTTTTGGATATATATATATTTTTTTTTCTCAACCCATAGTCAAGGATCTTATTCTGAGTAAGAGTGCCTTTCATTTTTGTTTTTTGCCAGTTACCTGTGTATGTATGTGTGGAGAGAGCTACTGTATTACTCCAATGTCACTTCCATGTAAATATCAATGAAATGGAGAAATTTCTACATACTTATTTTATTAATATCTCTTTATATAATTATTTTATAAGTACTTCACTGGAAGTAGCCAATAGAAAACTCAAAGCAATCATTGACAAAAATGAACAAGAATGTATTTTGTAAAAAATGCTTCCACTTTCATTGCGAATTGTGGGAAAGGTAATAAATAGTTCTGGGCTATATTGAGGAAGAGTTAAAAATGGAATCTTAGGTGTTTCGGTGGTTGGTTTGTGAGCAGATTTGAAATGGTAATTGTGGTGGGGGTTTGCTAGATGCTGTACCACGAACTTCAGGAGTTCTGAGTTTTAGCTTAACTGTATTGTTCCATATTTTAGAGAGTTCAGAATTTCTCCAACCAGAGCAAGCATTCCAGCATGGCCACAAAGAAGGTGTTAACATTCTCTAACCATGTCTTTCGGATGGCAAATCAATATGTTAATAAATATTGCAGTGCCATCCTCCCTTATGAAGTATAGGCACACCTTGGAGATAGTGTAGGTTTGGTTCCAGACGACCACAAGAAAGTGAATATTGCAATAAAGCAAGCCACACAATTTTTTTTCGCTTCCCAATGCATATAAATGTTATGTTTACACTATAAACCGAAACCTAACCCACTGCCGTGGAATCGATTCTGACTCATGATTACACTGTGCAGTAGTCTATTAAGTGTACATTAGCATTACGAACAAGTTTGAAATATTGTGAGAATTACCAAAATGTGACACAGAGACAGGAAGTGAGCACTTGCTGTTGGAAAAATGGTGCCCATGTACTTGCCTGATTCAGGGTTGCCACACACATTCAATGTGTAAAAACTGCAATATGTGTGTCATACAACAAAGTGAGGTGCAATAAAACAATGTTTGCCTATACAGTGCATACATTGTAATTCCTGCTTGTCCAAGATTGGTTTCTCTGTCATTGTGTTATACTAGTAGATTGATAATTTCTTAAAAAATATGTAATCACTTTATATGTCATATAGATTGAATATTTGTGGGTCGATGACAATGACAAAAAGATGCTGCTTTTTCGATTAGACCAGCAGCGCCCTGGTGGCTGTCGTGTGTTAATTTGATTCAAAGGCATGTAAGCACCAAAACAGAAGTGTCTTCATATATTCATGTAGGAATGCCTCCTACACAGGGCTATGAAATGCATTTTGAATTATCTTTGTTTTTACTGTGGTTTATACATGTGTGTATACATGTCCTCATGCATTTAACTTGGAATGAGTTGGAAACTGCCTCATTTTTACTGTAAAAAAATAAGGGAGGATGTTATTAATTAAGTGTCATTGATGTAAATTTTAAATTTTAAATTTTTTTCCTTTGATAGTTTATCTCAATAACTGATAATTACCTTGATGCAGCATGTCCAGATTTTAAAATCAAAAGTAACAGATTAAAAGTTCATTTGATTTTTTTTAACAAAGCCATTTATTTTCCCAAAATGTTTTACATTTTATATGACCTTGACACTGGTATTTATTAGAAGATGATGTATAATTCTCTTGGACTTTCTGAAATTCAGCTTTTTCAGCTGTAAAATAGGAATAACAGAAAATGGTCACAATTTTTTGTCATGTCTTCAGCAAAGAATATGGTATATGGTCTTCTGAAGCAAAAAAGGAAGTTCAAGAATAGGAGGGTATGGAATGTGTGGCTAACTATCTCCATAAACAAATGCCTTCTTTGCCATGAGACCAGAAGATCTGGATGGTGCCCAGTTACTAATACTGAGCATTTTGATCAAAGATTCTGTAGAAGAATCCTGATCAAAAGGGGGAAAATACAGAACAGAATTTCAAATTCTTTTTGAAAGAGGTTGGATGAACTCCTGAAACTGTTGTTCTGAGATAATCTTTAAAACTTAAACCAAAAATATCCCCTGAAGTTTTCTTAAAACCGAACAGTAGTTGAGCTTAACATAAAAATTATCTGCCTTGAGCATTATACTCTTTTATGAACTATCTCTATGGGATCAAAGTGACAGCGGCAACTAGAAAGATTAGATAGGAACCTTAGGGACTGGAAGTTTATGTGAATGGGGGAAGAACAACTTAGAAAAGGAGGGTGACAATGGTTGCACTTGAATATAATGAGTGTCACTGAATGGGACATGTAGAAACAGGTGAATTGCTGTATGTTTTGCAATAGCAAAATAGAATTTTTTAAACAAGAACATGACATTATTTTAAGTTTATATTTTTGAACCTCTTTAGTAAACAGTTGTATTTTGAAAGAGATTTAAGATATACCTTAATATTTGTACAAGTTTTAGAACAATGATATTTCTCTCCGTCTGGTCACTTTCATATTGGTTATTTATTTATTTATTTATTTTGGTGTATGGTGTCCGATATTGTGCGTTCTTTACTGTTTAGGATTTTTTTCGAAATTTGCCTCACTGGATCCAGCAGCACACTACTATGAATGATGCTGGCAATTTTCTGATTGAAACATGTGATGAGATTGTCTCCCAAGATCTTAAGCAGCAGTTATTATTGCTAAATGGGCGATGGAGGGAGTTATTTATGGAAGTCAAGCAAGTATGTCTCTCAAATCTCTATTTTCCCAGCACATGCATGTATTGTAACTGTTGGATAAGCACTGTTTAGAGACTATCTCACTCTCACAGAATACGGGCTTATGAATGCAGAGTATAGATATGTCTAGAAGTGTATGTCTTGTATTCAGTAATTCATTCTTTTCCTTTTTAATGGAGGAACATTACAGAAATTATGATGTGATTAAGGATTATGTTGACATATGGGATTAACTTAATATGGAATGATTCATGCTTCAAAACAGAGCTTAAGTTCTTAGTTTTTATGCTAGTTCCTTTTTTTCACAGTAATTGAATTTAATGCAGGTCTCTTTAAAATAAGAATCAGGAATTAGAGCCTTTTTTCCCCTACACCAGTTGCAGACAGTGCGTGATAGTGAAGGTGGTGGGTAGTCAGTGTCTCTGCTTAACGGTTTGCCACTATGCCGCCCCACCCTTTTCCTCGCAGTATGCTCGAGCTGACGAGATGGATAGAATCAAGAAAGAATACACAGAGTGTGTAGAGACCTTGTCTACTTTTGCAGCTGAAGCCCAGAGGAAACTTTCGGAACCCTTGGAAGTCTCCTTTATTAATGTCAAGTTATTAATTCAAGATTTGGAGGTGAGGGGGATTATTCTGGATCATAAAAGATACATTCTGCCCTGAAGGAAAACAAATCAGAGGGGTTACTCACCTGATTGCACACACTATTTCTAGATCTTTGACAAGTTCTGCAAGTCCTGATCTGCACCTCCCGTAAGAAATGGATTTGAATTTTGTCAAGTTCTGTTTGGACCAAGTAGAGTAACTTCAAACTGGTTGTTCAACTTGGACCCTTGTAAACTGCAGTAATAAAGCACTAAGAGAAAATAAGAGACTTCTATAGATGAGTGTGTCCAACAATAAGGAATTAGATACTTGCTGTCAATAATAAGGCTTTTTATCAAATGAGTTGTGATAGTTCTGTATTTTGAATGCTTTGCAGCCTCAAAAATGAAGTACTGGAAGAATATTTAATGACATGGAAAGATTGTACAATATATTATTGCACTTGAAAAGCAATCAACGTTAAAAAATTTTAATGAATATATAAAAACACAGGGAAAAAAGATTAATGATGTAGGAAGATGTTCACTCTGATTATCATGGTGTGAAAAGACTATAGGGAACTTTAATTTTCTTGATGCTAATAGCTCTGCTTTCAAAATTGTCCACAGTGGCAATGCATTGCTTTACTATAAACTAAACTCATTGCCATCGAGTCAGATCCGACTCATAGCAATCCCTCCTTCGGTTTTCAAGTCAGTATCACTATGGAAGTAGATTGCCCAACCTTCCTTCCAAGGAGTGGCTGGTGGGTTTGAATCGCCAGCCTTCTGGTTAGCAGTCAAGTGCCTTAGGCACTATGCCACCAGAGCTCCCTAAGTGTGTGTGTGTCGGGGGGGGGGAATGCATTTAATATTTGAAGTCACAGGAATAGCCCCAGATTGTTAACATGTGTTTACATGGCATAGTATTTACATAGTACATTCCAAACCAAATGAAAAGCATTGCCATCGAGTCGATCCTGACTCCTTGAGACCCCATAGGATGGAGTAGAACTGTCCCATAGTTTCCAAGGCCATATATCTTTAGGGAAGCAGACTGCATCATCTTTCTCCTATGGAACAGCTGATGGGTATGAACCACCAACCTTTTGGTTAGCAGCCAAATGCTTTAACCACTGAGCCACTATAACTCCTGCAGGTAGTTTTTGAAAGTTTAGATTACTTCAGTTAATCTTTATGTTAACTTAAGGACTTATGCTCATTTTTAAAGGGAAGTTTTCATTTATTTATTTATTTAATATGTTGATAAAGAAGGAAAAAGAGTCTTTGTGTGGTGGTACAAGTGGTTAAGCACGCAACTACTAACTCTAAGGCTGGCGGTTCAAATCTACCCAGAAAGTCCTGGTGATCTGCCCCCAAAAGCTCACAGCCTTCAAAACCCTATGGAGTAACTCCACTCTTTACATATGGGGTCAATATGAGTCAGAAGGAACTGGACAGCACCTGGTACCTGGTAATAAAGCACTGATGGGAATCTCCACATGCCCATTGTAGGCAGAATATTCTATGATACATACTGGCTTTTGTTCTGCCGTCTTTGGAATCCTGACATTCAAAGGTAGGGCTCCCTGTGTTAATGTAGCTGTTTCATTGATTCCTGCAGGATATTGAGCAGAGGGTGCCGGTGATGGATGCTCAGTACAAGATGATCACAAAGACAGCCCACCTCATCACAAAAGAAAGTTCCCAAGAAGAAGCGAACGAAATGTTTGCAACCATGTCTCAGCTCAAGGAGCAGCTAGCCAAGGTTGGAAAATGTTGGAATGCAATGCCCACA